TATTGCATCAGCGATTTTCCAGTGGGCAAAACAGACCCCTAAAGAAGCGTTCGCGGCAGCCATGGAGTCATGGCGTCGACGTTGTGAAAAATGTGTTCGTCTACAGGGAGATTATGTTGAGAAGTGACAGAAGTTTCAACTTTCTGGTGTAAGTAGTTTGTCAGAAAAAAATTAGGAGACCTTAGAACTTGAACGCACCTCGTAGACACGGACCATTCATTACTTCATTGGGTACGTCAATACTCCACCGACTCCACTTCAACCAATCCCATCAATCGGTCGTTTAATTGTTACCTTGTCCTTCCATTGGCATGCATATGACAGAGGGGGAAGAAAGAATACATACCTCGGTATTGTGTTTTTACTTGAATAGGCAATGAGATCGGGGTGGGCCCGTTGTTGGTGTATGCCTGGACTCGGACGGTATAGACGATTAAAGGCGTCAAGTCATTGATTATGGTGAAACCCCCCCAAGTTTGATATGCGATCACCAGCATGCTTGACCACTCTGCAATCACCAGGTCAGGATTGGTCGTGTAGTACACCTTGTACTGCTGGAACTTCAGAAAGAAAAAGAGGATATCTCATGCCAGTCCATTGTCACAACCGCCTATTCAAGTAACCTCTTTCAGCAGATTTATTTCCTACTTTTTTCTGTGTTTTTCCTGGTATAAAGCATTCACATTGTCGCCTAATCTGGAAATTAAACTTCGATTTCATTGTATTTTTACATTAGCGTATCAGCTATAATTAAACAACAGAATGGTTGCCATTTTTACCACATGGTTGGCAAATTCCGGTTGGATTCCCTTCTACGGGAAAAGTATAATTTGACAAACTCCCATTCAGTTCTGTTTATTTTTGTGCAAAATCCGTTGCTTCAGTCCAACTTTCACTAAAGTTATTACAATTTTGAGAGGGGAAGTGACTTTCAAAACACTATGTACAGTATTGCAAGATTCGAAACCTGTCACTCAGTTCCTTTGGGATATATTCCCTCCACGACCGCATTCCCTGGGAAGCATCGGCTGTATCATTCCACGGCAAAAGGGAAAAATGAATCAGAACGAATGGGCAATCCAACAATATATGTCGCCACAAATAGCACAGATACAAAGAATTCAATGTTTTCATCATCTTGGCTGGGATGTCATGGAACATCGCCATTTTGAAGTTAAGACACCCGATATGGCCACTCTTCCTATATAAATGGCCATATCACTGTCTTTGATGATTTCTTGAAGATGCTACTTAGGGAAGAGCTGAAAATCTAGGGTGTGCGCCATATGATCCGTTCTGTCAAAGGAACAATCTCGTTCTCAGTTGCCAATGCAAACGAAACTTTTGCGACGTCTTGAAAATGAAGGGATTTTCACGAAACATCAATCACGAAAAGTGCCATTTTGTTTGCCATTACACTTTCTTTGCTTGCACGGGCAAATGCTGCTGGTTCCTCCTAGCTATACATGAGTCCAATCAAGCAAAATAGTACTTGGACCATAAAACGCATCAGTGCATTATCGTCTGATCACATCGTTTGAAAGAACTCTTGGATGCAGTTGATATTTGGCGAAGAGATTCATGGGCCTCGACGCTTTTTTCCTCATGCTTAAAATATGGCATACCAAGCGCTGCGGTCGATATTGGCGCCCTCTATTGGCACGCAGCGCCATCTTGTGACCTGGAAAAAAAAACTCCTTGACTTATGAGCCTCTCTGTCAAATATCAGCTGAATCTGACTCCCCCTCTTGAAAAGTTATAGCTAATCCAAATAAGGTGGTGACTTAATGATAAATCTGTATATACCTTGTCTATATGAAAAGAACATCCCTTCGACGTGCCCTTATCAGAACAACTCAGGTGCTGCGAGCTAAGCCAACAGCAACGGACATCTAGGCGCAATAAAGTAGATAGAATAATTATTCCTATCAGGACAGATCAACGGTCAGTATGAGGCCAAACTATTGCAGAAAAAGAAGAGAGCTTTAAAAAGTGAATGACAGTTAAGGAGGCCTAATGGGCTGAGAAGTCGTAGGAGTCTTGTCAGGGACACGATCCTACCAAACAACTTGCAGTGTAGCAAAACCTTTTTCGACATCTCCACACCTGGGATTGATCACTAAGGAAGAATACAGTGCCTGTCGCAACAGAAGCTAGAGAAAGCTTCCAGAGCTTAAATCCGTCCTAAAATATAACCACTTCTGCACAATCCATGAACCAGAGGTTCACACCTCTGGTTCCTGAAGGAACCCAGTGCAGAGCGTTCTGTGCATGTACATGTAGACATGACGATGCCCAAGTCACTATCTGCAGGACTACTGTATGGGAGTAAAAGGTTTCCCCTGGTGTGGAGATTCGTGCCTGAGGGCAAATTCTTTTTTTTATTCTATTCTCAATGTTGCTTCTACATGCAGTTGTCCACATCATAGGAACAGAAAATTTATTATACGAATCGACGCTAGATGGCGCCTAACAGCCGATTTGGCGATTCTTACCTTGATGCCAGGAAATAGACACCTAAATTTTTCAAACAATACCCAATATGACCCCATTTACAAAATAAGGGACGGTATGGAAATTTCTACATGGTACCTGTTTAAGGAGGTAATCAGGCAGAAAGAGACTCGAAGTACTTCTGACCAATGGGTCCGAGGAGACATGCTTACTTTTCCTAAATCTTCACATGGCACATACACTCACACGAGCTTTGCCATGGAGAATAGTTCATGAAAATATGCCTGCGGCGTTCTTTTCCTCTACTGAACAGAGAGTGTTGAGTCATATAAGTACTCAATTTGAATTCTGACTCAGAAAAGCAATTAAGGCTTTGAGGGTTCTTTACGCGGGATGATTGCACTCAATAGAGTACTGCTTGTATCATACCTTTTGAGTACTTCCCACGGGATTATCGAGTCTATATTCAATCTCATCGGCTAATTAGCGCTTGCACACTTTGGATAAGGGAGGGGATTATATAATGCCCTTACGTTGACAATTCAACATTGACACAACGTTACACAGCAACACCTCTTCAACATTGAACTGTGTTTCATTTAAACATTGGGGCAACTTTGAGTCTATATTAAGTTACAAAATCAACCTTTTCTAAACATTGAGGCAACATTGTCATCAATCTTTTCGACAACGTTGAAACAACGTTGTTGTGCCGAATGGTGAATGTTTTCAGATATTCGGAATATTTTTTTCTCAGGAAAGATAAGGTAAAAGCTTGTTTGGGTGCGAGCATAAGTAAAACAATAGATGTTTTAAATCTAATTCATTTTTCTCTGGTTTGCTCAGATTTTGCATTTAGTCATCTGAATGACTGAATGACTGAGTCATGACTGAAACAGTTATGAATCAGCAAATACATTACATCGTCAGGGGCAAAAGAGGCAATGATGTTATGAGATTTATAACGTGAAAGCGTGAAGGTCGTTATTTGGCAGATGTTTGTTCAATCGAACGAGTCATGTAGAGGATTGCTGACCGGTAATATCTGTTCGTGGAGCAGTTATATATTATACTAAAAGGCATTATGTATGCTCCTTTTTAGGCTCCAAAGTGAACCATGCTGATAGAGACTCAATGCCTATCAACACGATATAGTTTTTGAAGGGGCATAAGAATATTTAGATGTAAAATCCTGTCGTCCTTTCCGTAAGGATGTGATGCCAAGGGTCGAAAAGGTTCATCCAATGGTTTCATGTTTACCCCCAAGAATTAAACGCAGGGCACGCTTCTGCACCAATTCGATGGCATCTACGGCACGGCTGCTCATAGAGTTGCTCCGGTAAGTTTAGGTGTACTCGAAGACTGGCTGAATATGGGAGGACCAGACGAATGAGACGTCCTCCTGCGGTGCACAAAACTATTTCGATACCTAGGCTTGTGCATTCGTCGAGAGGCTACATTACTAATAGAGTGTTTAGATCCCTCTGTAGGTCGTTCAGAATCATAAGTCCCAGCAGGCAAAAGCAGTTCTCTATTTTCAAGTTGTGGCCTGCAATGTGAAGGTCATGTTGGGCGGGAAGCAATTTGGAGAAGCAAAATTCCCTTCGGATCGCGGTTCGGTGGCTGAGAGGTTCTGGCTTCGGAGTGAAACTCAGGATGCCAGGGATCGAGTTCGGGTGTCGGCGAGTTCTTCCTCCACCGACAGGCGACCCACCTGCTTTAATGGGGAGTATCTGCCTATCATGGAATAACACACGCCACTCCGTCTGCCACGTCCTGGAGATACGAGTGTAGTACACTTTAACCACTCATGCCAGGCATGGGCTTATGCAACCCATGAGCTGCCCCTAAGGCCTCCTCTAGGCCCGTTAGGGGGGGGGGGGCCGAATTTGATTCGAAAAATTATTATTCTCATTGATCCACCAGTTTACGGGATATTTCAAAAAATGACGAACGGCTTCTGACATAAATATATCCGCTCACGTTGGAGCTATTTGAAGAAAGGTTTTCTCTACAAAGCAATGCTTTCCTTTCCCGCCTCTTACTTTCATTCTTCGTATGGCATTTTGATGAGCAATATTCCTGTGTCACATTGACATACTCACCCCTTTCTTTACTTATTTTTCTTGGATGCGGTTTTCTTCCACACCTACTCATCATATCGACTTCAACGAATAATAGATTACGCTCATGACAGAATCATCACAAATGAGAAGACATTTATTGAACATAAAAGAACTCACTCTGATTCCCTCATAATCGTCAGAACTGGCACTAGGTTTCATCCAAGAGATCATCAGACTGGTCAGGCTGAGGTATCTGGCCCTCACGTGTGCTGGTGAAAATTTTGGCGCTGCAAACAACACTAACATCATCAACATTTTGAACTAGTGACTACTTTTATCTCTTTTACAAGGGAATCTGACATATTTATAAGGCATACTAATGATTAACCTTCTTGGATATGATTTTTCATTAATTGGCAGACACATGTCCTGACTCAGTGCCTAGCCCATCTCTCTTTACTACATGTACAGGGTGATTTTTTGTTCATCACACCATTTCAGATATTTATAATCTTTAAACAAATGAAGTTAGATGCATTAAATTTTGCACCGAGAATCCATAAACATGGGAAAATGATTATCATAAAAAAACATATTCAATGTCCCGTCCTCTGTACGCAATCACATGTTGTAGACGTGTGGTGTAATTCTGCACTACGGTCTGCAAGTTATCCTGGGAAATGGAGCAGACTTCACTTTCTGTGTCCACCTTCTGGTCTCCCAAAGGTCAAGGATTTGATTTGAAGGTTTTGTCCGTTAGGTATCCCCAGAGGAAATAGTCACATGCATTGAGATTGGGGGGCAATAGTGACCATACCAAATCACCATTGTGGATATCAGGGAATCTGCTAGACAGCATTCTGGTGCCAACGTTATCATGCAGGAAGTCTAATCGCTGCTTTGGCATGGCCACCATTGTCCTCCAATTTTAACCCGTTTGACTATTTCCTCTGGAGACACCTAAAGGACGAAATCTTCAAGTCAAATTCATGCCCCAGAACATGAAGTCCACTCCATTTCCTGGGATAATTTGCAGGCTATAGTGCAGAATTACACCACACGTCAATGGCATGTGATTGTGCACAGAGGATGGCACATTGTGCATTCTTTTTTCTGGAGTATAATTTTCCCATGTTTATAGATTCTCGATGCAAAAATGAATGCATCTAACTTCATTTGTTCAAATATTATAATACCTATAATGGTCCAATGAATAAAAAATCACCGTGTATGTATGCATGCTGCTTTTCGCTTTGGATGTATGATTTATGCATCGCAGGTAATGATGAGGAGGTGTCACGGAGAACAAATAACGGTCAAATTCTGGTCATAATCCAAAAATAAGACCAAATGAAATCTTGACCCAAGGTTCTTTTTGACATAGGAACGAATGGTGTTCGTCCAATACAGGGTGAGTCAGAAGCCCTGCCCACTTTTTCAACGTTGATATCTTTCGAATGCCAGATTGGATTGATGTCCAGATTAGACCATTCGCAAGACAAGAATGTAGGGATACAAATTCCTATTTTTCCCCACGGCCATGAAGTCAACTTCCTTATTGTGCGTTCACTTAAACCTGCAAATGTGCTTGGGTACTATGGCAACTTGACTCGAATTCAGTAACATGACTGAGGAACAACTGACCCACCATTCGTAATCGTGAGGCATTTATTCAACTTCGTATCGAATGGGCCAGAACGCAACGGAGCATTGACTTTTTCCTTCAATTTTTGAACAGTTTCGCTCAAAAATTCAAGAAAAAATTAGACGGAGAAACCCTCAGCCGCCTGTCAATCGTTCACATCATTTCGAATATTGACACAATGGGAACAGTACCAAACCAGTCCTGCTTCGGAAGTTTACGTACATGTCGCTCTGAAGAAAATTTCGAATTTTGCAGAAGACCTATCAGTCACTTTGAAGGTGAATGTGATCCGTGACAGTAAAGAAGAATGTCCCTCAGCATCGATTGAACGAATGTGGCAGATCTGAAGCATGTAACTTTGAAGTTCTGTTCTTGTTTGATATGTCATGGAAGTGCTAAATGGATCTTTTTCGTGGCTTTCTTATGATTTGAACCCCATTACAATCCGATCATTCATTAATGAATTATTACAGATTAAAAGCAGGACTTTTAACTAACCCTGTATAACGTGATTTTGTCCATTATACGAATTCAATGAATAATATATAACTTGAAGGGGATTTCTTTGCAGACTAAAAAAATACAAATTTCATTCAAACTTGAAGGGGTCGAAAAAGTTAGGATAGGTTGCATCAAGTTAGATAAGGCTTCTATGAATTCATTTGCGCTTGAACTTATAAACATACCCGAGGATTAATACATTTATTTCAAACAATATTGAATGAAGCCATGGAATCATGCCATGTATGTCATCGTGAAAAAAAACATTAAGTGAAATAATGTTTCGCAAATGTTGCATTCTGATTTAAAAAGAAAATGTTTTCAATGGAATCATGCATTCACACTTTTTCGTTATACACTTCCAATTTCTGGGCTAAGTTTCAACCTAATTGGTGTTTTTCCTAAATTCGCTGCTGATGTGAGACGCATTTATTACAAGTCCCATATGAATTTAGAAAAATCCTTTAACCTAACCTAACGTTACCTTGCCTAATCATACTTCTTTAAACCCATCAAATCCCGAAATTGCATATTTCTAATTTTGAGTTACAAATTGAAAAATAAGCATTTATTTAAAATGTATATTGAGGCCCAACAGGGGCAAACCTAACCTAACGTATCTATAACCAAACTTGTTTAAATGACTCAGATGTGGAAAATAAATTATGCTTTTAGGTCGGGACACCCTTTCGACTCATATGAATATCGTAAGCATCTACATGAGGGGAAATATATGCTAAACTGAAAATGAATTTGGCAGTCTGAACATGATGGAGAGATGATCAATATAGTATGTGATGGGCAGGGAACAAATGTTGCATGGAGCAGACTGAGCTCTTAAAAATGCATGTTACATCGTTGTTTTATATGTTGGCGTCGATGAGGCAATTATGTCAGTTATGCTTCATAGGGAAATAATTGATAACTATCTGTATTGCCTGTTTAAGGAAAAAAAGAATAGAAAGTAAGCTCTTGCAGAAATCCGGTATATCCTTCTTTTTACATTTTCTTGGCTCCGCTTTTTCCTCCGGGTCGCGGATTCAGGGAATTGCGCAGAGGTCCAGAAGACGGGGAAATGTGGCAAATAAGCCGAATTCAAAAAGTAACATAAATTCGCTGATATCCCTCAACATAATGCTGATAATAAACACGAACGGTATTCTTGGGAGTAGTTTTGGGATGGGAGAGTATCTCCTTCTGAGAACCACCTAGACCAGAAGAAGACTCCATGGCTGAAATGCTCTACTTAATAGAAAATGGCATTGATCATTATTGATCGACTCTGAAGCACATTGCCAGAATATCACAACACAATACACACTATCTCAATAGAGAAATTTCTTTTAATACTTCGCGCCGCGTTGCAATCAACGATAATCCGAGTGAGCCTCTTCAACCAGTTGGAAAATATAAGGCCAAATGGTTCTTGAGAATCTCTCATATTACTAGTTCTCAGAAACAAAGGTTCTTTCATCCAATTAAGACATCCTAGCACTTTTTTGAAACATTAAATAGATCACCCACAATTAAATAGATCACCCACATGAATCATTTTCATTCTTAATGGAACATTTTAAGCCCTTAAACACCTCTTCACCAAAGATTTACAGTCTTCCGCCATTGTCCTAAGTGATCTTGAATAGGAATGGAACGAAAATTGTAGTAATGAAGTAGAGAACTGATAATGCTCACAGATTAATCCTATCGTCACAGCTACTCTTTTCATCCATCAGTTCGTCAGTTCCAGGAGGTACTTAACATATAGGAAAAATACCGGGAAGATTTCAAATGTCCCTCGTAGAGAAGTGGGAAAAGACAAAACGTACGCGGTCCTTTGGTTGTGGCAGAGTAACGCTCAGACAGAGGACCCTCTCCAATGAGATTCACTGCCCGAACGTAGAACACATACTCCTTGCTATGATTCAGCTGTTGAATAGTGTGATGGCGTTCACTGATGCCGGAGATTTCAAAGGACTTGCCCGTAAAAAATGGGCGGATGAGGATCGTGTAGTGCTGAACATTAGGATCATTTGGCTCCAAGGTCGACATCGAAGATGACGTTGGGTAGGACCAAGCAAGTCTCAACGATGACTCTGTCACCTGACTCACCTTCAAGTTCACTGGTGCAAGGGGTAAGTCCTGGACTATGATGATTTTTGCCCGTTCGATATGACCGTCTTCGATGCTCTCTGCCTCACACGTGTAATTTTCCGACTTTTGGATGTCTCTCAGTTGAAGGATATTCGTGTCATTTGAAGAAACTAACTCATCCAGAGATCTTCCTTTGTCCTTAGTCCATTTCACAGTCGCATTCGGTGATTCCACTGGCACACACGTCAAATTTAAATCCGCACCCCGTTTCACTACGTACGATTCCTCTAACTCCGTCGAGAACGGCAGGCGTACTGTCACCGGCTCTGTAGCAAATGCAGAAAAAATAATTTGGGAAATCGAACCCTGTGAGCCAGTAATTTTTACCCTATATACGAGAGTGACTCAATAAATTTGTGGACTTTCTTATTTTCAGGAAGAATGCTATACCCTAAAATCATATAACTTTGCCATTTTTCAACATAGGGGGTTCAGGATTGAAAAAAAGAGGTTGAGGGCGACTGTTTTTCAATGCACTGGGAGCTTCCTGATGCCCTCAGAAAAAAAATATTTGGAGGCCATGTTGAAGAATCGGAGGACATGTTGTTTGACGCCTTTATCATCAGAAAACATTTGCCCTCCTATTGACGTTCTGAGTGGGGAAAACAAATAAGTCACTGGATCCCAATTTCGTTATGGTGTCAACGGTTACATGTGCTGTGTGGGGCCGGACGTTATCCTGCTGCAGCATCACACCTTTGGTCAGCAAGCCTGGTCTTTTTCTTGCAAAGGCCTGTCGAGCACGAGTTTTCAGCAGTTCCGAGTAATAAGCAGCATTTATGGCGGTATGGCAGAACTCCGTGCAATACTAATACAACAGTGAAATAAGGAAGAACATCCAGTCCTGAAATTTAAAGACATTGGGAGGCATAATGTAGCAGCTGGTTCCTCACTAATGGCTGGTGTATCTACAATATTCGGCGATATTGTAGTTGGGATAAGTGCAATAGGTCAATATGTGCATTTGGCAAGCAGATAGTTTCAACAAAGAGGGTAGTTTCTAAAAATACAAATATACTTACATATGGTCGATTGTAAACTCCAAACTTTCATTGAAAGAGTATCATGGAACCCTCCATGATCACACTGAAAGATCCTTCTTTCAGATCTTGCCTTTAAGTATTGCACATACTTTCGAAGGACTAAATACTTTGAGGATGCTCGTGAACAGCTTCAGTGGATTCATTTGGTCGTGAGAGAACATTTATAAAGAATATTTAAAATATAATTCATGTCACACAGATACTAGATGTATTTGTTTGGGGAGTTGGCTTTTTTGCGACACCATTAATAATTACATAACTCACGGGTTTTCGAGGATGGGAAAGCAGCGACACACAGCAGAAACAGCAACACTTTTGTATAAAGAACCATTGATGAATCCTCTTCCAAAGTCGACGATTAGCTATGGGAGAAGAACAATGAAGCATAAATGACTCTGACAAGTATTGCCCTCCGGTCCCCACTTCGTCTTCATTTATTACTAGCGAGTTTGAAGTGAAGAGTGAAAATAAACTCACTATCGTCGAGCTTTCGGCGTTCGACGATCGAAACAAACGAGTAGCTTATTTTAAAAATTTCTTTTCTACGCCAACACCGACCAATGTGGTAAGTCCTTTTGGGTTATTAGTTATTTTCATTGTGGTGTCAGGTAACTTCTGGCTGTGTGACGTAGTTATTAGCTTGATGGCAGAAAAATTCACACTGAAAAATTCACTGAAAATCCCAAGTGTTTGCAAAGCGAGCCGTACCGTCCGCTTGGTGGTTTTGGGAACATATAAAATCATTACTCCATTCCAGTCGGTCGTGAATATTCCTTCAAAATTCCCAATATATCCTTGGTTCATGTTGCTTGAGTTTGTGTAATTGAACCGATTTCCTGTTTCCACCAAAAAGGGCGTGAAGCACCTCATTTCCCTCCCCGTTAGGAAACAAAGAGCTTTTTTGAAAGGGTACTTGCCATTTGACATGACAACTAATAACGATTACCTCCTGCGCAAATTACGTTGCCAAGTTCTCTAAGATGTCGTGTATTGTAAGAGGCCTTAGGAGTCGCCATCAACTTGCAAAATCTTGCCCACAGCTCCGTTCGAGAACCGGTGTCTAGCCATGGCAGCAGCGAAATGGCAACTGGAATCCTGACCACTGGCGATTCGAAACTCCTTTTCAACCTCGCAACCACATGGACACAGGCCATATGGTTGTCTCCGAGTGATCCACATACTCATAGTGACGGCGCCCGGCATTCAAGGCCGTACATATACAGATCCTCATTTTCTACGAATATTTCATGCGCTCGACGTATATTTACTGACCTGGGCTTTTGAATGTTAGAAAAACGGAGATTCTCAGTCTCCCTCCAGAAGGTACCAAGAAAGTTGGTACCAAGAGAGATGAAACAAGGAAGAAAGTGGCTACTGATCTGTTGATTCCATGGGAAATTTTATTTTCAGATTCAGGCATCCCCCGACTTTTCTATTTCCTATCCGGGAATATATTATTGGGTGACACGTTTTGCAATAATTAATTTTGCTGTGGAATCAGGCGTAGATGGAAGGTGAAATTTGCAGCAGAATTAGGTGCTGTGATGTTACTTTGGGTAAAATTCGATTTTCAAGGTTCTTACCCTCATGGCACAATATTTGCTGGGACTTTTTCCAAAAGACATATTCGCTTCGGCGGTATGAAAAGGAGGAAGCTCACATTTGGTAATGATGCTGTTGTTGGGCTTCTAATTTCAGAAAATAAATACAATTACCGGACATATCCTCTCGGGGCACATTTCTCGGTGGAGAAGTGCACACAGATCACTTTTTCGCTCCAGACAAACGGGAATATGTAGGAAACTGACAGGGTAGAGATGTAGTACTGGGAGAAATGAAAGCAAGGAAATTCTTATTTTGAGGTATATGCCCTCTGGACGTATCATCCAGTGGCTAAAAATTGCTAGGAAATTTTAGCAATTATTTTACTCGTGAAAAATGTCAATAGAAGGAAAACATTTGAGTGGTTCTCCTCATTTTGATTTCATGTTTTTCACATTCAGATTCATCCCCTTAGGACACATTTTTCTCAGGGGACATATTGGAAAATATATTTTTTCTTTCATTGGAAGTAGGGAAATATTGAAGACTTGGTACAGAAATGATATTCTCGGCACTGATTTAAATTAACTTGTTTAATTTGAACGTTCATCTCCTCAGGGTATTTTGAATTATCTTCGTCAAAAATGGAGGTATTTCTGAAGTTTGAAAGTTCTTCAAAATGCCCTCCGCCTATGTCAATACATTTGGCATGAGGCTCACGACCAAAATATTGCCTCCAAAATAACTCCCTTTGGACTCTGATGGGACTCTCAAAGACCTCCTTCCAGGTAGCAACATTCCTTCATTGCTCAAGCGCCAATTGTGAAGCCCTTTCTCATGACCGCGAAAGCAAATTAAATGATAAATTAAACGATTAATGAAAGCAAATTAATTTTTTATGTTCCTTAGGTCTGTCTGGAATTAGGAGCGAAGCATGCCATATTGGAATTTTCGCCAAAGAGCATTCAACAAGACGTACCATTAATTTCCCAAAAGACACACTTTTCTGACATGCTTTTGGATCAATTTCTGCTTGACTCTGATTCCAAGTCATTATTGTGAAAAAAGAAATTTCAAGAATGTTCATTTCATCAATGCTAAAAAGTGATCTGGTTGTTGCCGTTTGGAAAATATTGCAGTTTGAAATGGTATAGTGACTTATGGGACACCCTGTAGAAGGAAGCATACTTCTGGAATACATTTCATACGGGCAGTCACTTTAGGGAGACCTTCCCTTCTTATCCTAGTGAAAAGGAAACATGAAAAAAGCTGACTTTATAAAACCACGTTGTTCTGGGAAATAGTACTTCAAGGAAATTTTGACTTTGAGGTCATTCCCTTGGGACACAATCAATGTGTGAGGAGGTATCTTTTGCAGCATTTTGTGGGTAACAAAGAATCTCAATTTGCTTCATGTTACTAGCATCAGGGTGACAATGTCTTCACACTCCCAGAAGTAACTTGAACCCACAATGGAAAATACATATGTTACAAGGTGTTTTACCACATTTGTAGGTTTGAGAATCGAAAAGGGATGCTGAACTTGTATTATTAAACATGTTTTGGAGCGCAGAACGCTGAAGGCGCGTTCATAGCGAGTTTGTTTCACAAACCAACAAACATGTTAGTAAATATATATACATACTCTAAAATGGAGTATTGATTGCGTGCTTTTCTAACAATAGGTATTTTAAAGACTATATTTGGATTTTCACGCTGTTCCCTATATGTGGATGACCTGGTCCCAGTTCATGGACATTAATCGACCCAGTTTGTTGGGACAGAAGTTTTTTGGAATCATGAACTTGGAGAATGTGTGCCATAACCATGGAATGTGTGCAGCGGTTTTATTCATCGTCATTGAGATGAAAATTAAGGAAATATCACTCATTCATCACGTATTTATTTGACAAGCAGTTACATCTGCTCTAACTTTGACGAAGCCCATCACGGTACAGTTGAAAACCTAGTTCCCCTTTTCCGATGATGTCCAGGAGATCCTGATCCCTCAAAAAAATTTTAGTCATCAATTCACATTCAAAGTTTCTCTTTTGTCGCTTATAACCTTTCCTTTCCGATGATCTCGGGCCTCATTGAAATATTAGGCCTTCACTTCGTGAAAATGTGAGTATTTCTTCTGGTAAGTCGAATCAAGTAAGTAGAATCGGCATCAGCATGGCCCCAAGCAATATATGCATTTCATATTAATTTATAATACCATATCAATATATGCGTCCATCTTAAGATGTTAAGGACGGGTCGAGCGTTTACTCGTTTTGTAAAGTGTGCGCAGGAAGGACGAGTCGCTTGTAAACACGTTTTTTTTGCGAATGACCGAGAACCAAGCAACTCCTGTCATCTGTTGAGGGTTTTTAGAACTGCTTGAACAGCTGTCATTGAGTAGGAAGTTTGTAGTTCCACGATGGTTACCTAAAATTCCCGGGAACCAGGGGTATATTATCATGTATTCGTCCGGTCCTCAAAGTGTTAATATGAACAGGCCGATGAATCCTGCGACTAATGAAAGATTGTCAATATGATGGCAAATGTCAATATGATTATATGCTTATCAAAAGGCGGTTAAGAAGAATGTCATTGCAATGCGCATTATGGTCGCCCTGCTTCTTATCAAGACACCTCCTTAATTGGAATATAGTTCCCTAAGGGGAAATTTTAATTCTCACTGCCTTTCTCTCAGATATGAAAGGACATCAGATTCCACATTCACTCCTTAAAGTTTACCGAGGGACAGATTACTGAATAGGTGAACAATGCACGGGCATAGGGAGCCTCAGTTAAGGGAGCGCCAGGCCTCTGGATATGGTCAACTATGAGATAAAAAGATGGCAATATTACATTTTGCGTAACCCCTCTTTCTCGCAAGAGTGGACAAAAGGGTGGAGGTGGTGCGCGTTCTGACTCAGAGCGCCTGAATCCTCAATCCGACCCCGTTATTGTAGTTGAGCCGGAGCATCCCCCAGGGGTGAGGATTAACTATCGGGCCGAACGGCAATGGTGAGCAAAATGGGGTAAGAATGACTCCAGACATTCAGATAAAAGGACTAATGCATCCCCTAACGGTGCTCACATGCACCCATCTCACAGTAAAGAGAGCCTGCACACCCTTGAGAGTGCTATGCAAGTCTCTTTGGGATGGAATGAATACCTAGAGGCGAGCATGCGCCCCAAATGCATCACACTCATGTCAACCACCGCACACCCTACACTCACTTTCATTATTTGCTGGTACCATAGCGTATTCCGCTAAAGGCTTTATGAAAAAAAATATTTGTATTTTGATTTGAGCATTTTTTGGGGGATGTTCGGGAAAAATAAAAATAAATGAATTGATCTAAAAATGTTTTCTTAGGCCCTGGGCCAACTTCTCCACAAATACGAAGACGCCAGACGTATGGGTATAGGGCGTGAACACTAAAAAGCAGTCACCTGGATGGAGTTTCTTCTAGTTGTGGGCACCATGTCGGGTACTGACTGATATGTTTGCAGTGCATCAAGTGAAGAAAAAATTGAGTCCCTTGTTCAGAGAAAACAAGGGACTCGTATATTTAAATTTATATTATTAAATACTATGAACCCATGTGCACTTAGGAAATACCTGCCACCACGCTAAAAAAGAAGTCTTCAACAAGCTGGAGGGAAGGCTCCTCTCCGTGGACACCATCGTCCACAAATAAGCAAAAACCTTGAATTGAGGACCCAGTTTGTGGACACACCTCTTTCCTCATTTCAGAGGACTTGTTCACCCATATATGGATGTAAATATGAATTAGAAACTTCAAGAAACATTTCTGAACATCATACTCAAGACCCACATCAATTATTGTGCAACAATCAACTTTGGAAAGGGTTCACATCCATTAAGGAAAATCACTGGACATGTAAGGAATTCAGGGGTGCTGCATCTAAAACGAAGCGAAAATATCCAAGTTGACTTATGCTAATAGACATGCATACTTTGCCTTAATTTGCGCATGCCAGTGGTCGACTGGCATGCGCATAACATGGAGCAATCAACATGAATTTCCTGCGTATATATTTCAATATGGCAGAAAACGCGAAATCGTCCACAAGTATGCGCCCTTCCACGAACCGGCGCCTCTACCTGTATAATAATAATGGATAATTAATCATTCGGTTTGCATCTTATGGCGAACTCTAGGCATCATCCAAGGAGAAAATGAATCTAAGAAATTGTATTGTTTTCCTTTGAAAAGAAGGACTTAGTGATGAAGCTTTTCACCGATATCAATCTTTGTTACGTCCTCCCTCCTGCATATTGCTTCCAAATACGTTCATTATATGAACATGCCATGAAATCAAGTTTTTTCCTCATGTAGGTGTTGACTGTCAGGATGTTACTAGAACTAAGGAACTGAATGCGATGAAGGCAGGATCCACTTTGATCCATTCCGTCTACCTTGATTAATAAAATAGTTTCTGCTCATTAAATTCCTTGGAAGGATCCTTCCCGGAAACACTGAAGAAAATGATAAAAAGGTACCATGAATGATGCCGATGAAGTCGTATTTCGGATGCACTAAGGAAAGTCACTGCAGGGTACTAAATCGGAAGCCCATCAATCCATTTAATGCCGGTCACAAGTGGAAGCGCACAAC